AAAAATGATATTGTTATATAGCCCACATCAAATCTGTAATTGGTAGGAAATGCATTTCCAGTCTGGTGTAAAAAATTCCTACTCGTTAGTTTTTCAAGTTGGTACCTGCAGCTGAAATGTTTTTCTGTGATGTATGCCACCCAATTAGACATTTGATTTTGAAGTATAAAATGATGATTCATGAAGTCTTGATACGTCATCTTTCTGCACTTTTTCTCTTAGGAGCACCTAAGCTATCCTACTCCAGTGTGTTCCGATGACCCCAGGTTCGCTCCAGCTCCACCCCTTGGTAATAACCTTCACGTTTATCTGAACCCATGCAGGAGTCCCAGGGAGTCTAATGCCAGTTCAGTCACTTATTTGTGCATGGCTTCAGACGAAAAAACCTGTCATCTGTAATAGGGATTTCACCTATAAGAAGGAAGATAATGCCCTGCCTTATTCACATGCTGTCTCAAGGATGAAAAGAAAAGTATATGAGAAATTGCTTAAATTATTATGTGCTGTAGTTAAGCACTATTATTTTTCCCTCTGACAAGCAATAGTTTTGTGTTAGGTCCAAATTAGAAAACACTATTATTGATATTTTACTCAGAATCTTATTAGTTAATGGCAATTAGATTAATTTGGGACACTGTGACAGATTTTTTTGGCCTGTCTATACACGGTGAGGCTCACTAATACCTGAATGGACAGTATGACTGTCAGTGACTGCAGGGGACAGAGCTAACACCCCTGGGCGTCAGCGCTACTCTGCAGTCCAGTTTGCTAATGAGCAGTGCCAGCTGAGGGAGCGAGGATTTCATAATACTTGCGGTTTTGGTTCTCCTCAAACGGAAAACTGCAGAAGAGAGTGTTTGATACTTATGCTGTAGCCATTAAATAAATCAAGATAACTTTCCTATTTCCATTTGCTCATTCTTCCTAAGACATGATGAATTTGGGCTATCTGCTGCCATCTAGAGTCAGTATTGCAAGTTTTCTGTCAAGAGAAAATTTGTCCATTCTGTTACTGTAGCTCCCAGTAATTTGTCAGATTTAAGGTCTACCCACCTAAGGTCTTTAAAGCTCAAGCCATGAAGAACCACTTCCCTCAGAAATGCATCGCACTATGATGCGTTTACAGTACCACCCAGGTTCCTGAAAAAACAATCCCTTTACAAGTTCCTTTGATACACTGTTCCTATAAAAGGACCAAACTCCTGTGTAAGTGCCATAACTGAGAACTAAGTGTGCTGACTAGAGATAAATGTCTTATATCTTGTTAATTCTTCTAGTATTCTGGAAGTCAGAATGTGAAACCTGATTATAAAGTTCAAGTTTTCGTTCACATTCATGATAACTAAGACTTAGAATGGAAAAGCAGAACTGCTCCAAATGTATAAAACTTAGTTTTAAAAGAAACACTGACTTTTGCCCAATATTGTGCAATATTTTATTGTAATAAAAATATTTAGATGCATCTCATTGCAATATATTATCATATAGGTACTCACTAAGAAGGAAAAATTGGATAAAGTATACATTTAACAATATCTTACTATACATCCAATTAATCTGAGTAATTTGGGGGAAAAGAAGAAGATATAAAAAAAAGCATCCCTTTTTATATAATTCCATGTTTTTTCCCAGAGAGTTAATAGACAACACAATCAAGATACAGTTGTAAATTATTATAATGCTAACCCTAATATTAGAACCTGCAACATGTAAAAATTCCAGTCATACGTTGCTAGTTATTTGCCAAATGATAATCAAATGTTTGTCATACAGTGGTTTTAAGTTTGTAAGATACTATTCAAATGCATTACACTGCCATGGGTCAGTCCTTTTGTTTGATTTTACACATTAGCTCATATTTTAGTAAACTCTTTTTTCACCTGTTTAGTCTCTGTGTTATCACTTCTCGATACATAATAGAGATGTAGATAAGCAACAAAAAGATGACAAAGAAATCATCTAAAAAGCCTAAAATTCCAAACAAGGCTTCAGGTACAAAATCTAGAGGTGATATAAGATAGAAAAAAGCTCCCATTAAACAAAGTATTATCCTGATACGGAACATCCAGAAAAGGCCCCCGACTGAAAACATTTCCCTGAATGCATGTCTCAGTAAAGTGGGTAGATCCATAATTCTTTCCATAATCTAGTAGGAGGAAGAACAAATATTATGATTTGGCATCTAATGTGTCAGACTTACAAATAATATAATTTTCCTACAAAGTGCAGACAAACTCAGTTAACATGAACTATTGAGTTTCACATACTGGTTGAACATCCTATTTTCTAGTTATCATTTTATTTAAAAATAGTTCTTTGATTGCTAGGTTCCTATAAAATAGGCCTTGCAGATAATTTAAAAGCAATGAAAATGTCAACAAACTTAAAATATAGGACATAATAAGGTAAAACTTCAGTTATCTCTAATATGAATTAGTAAACTAAACGAAGAAAGGACTGAGTCTGAGGCTTGAGGTCAAGTTTCAGCTTTAAAGTGAGACAGATCTGGATTTGAATTCAAAGTCAATCACTTATTAGCTGGATGACCTTGGGGAAACTTGTTTAACCTACTAGAGATAGGTCATCAACTAATTCAGTATTTATGTACCATGAGGACTTTCAAGAACTAAAAGAGATACTGTATGTAAATGACCTTCATAAACTGCCACACAATATATATTACTCTTTAAAGACATACAAAGTTAACGGCTTTGACAGTCTAAGAATAGCAATGAAAGTGATCCCTTCTTAGGATGTTTATTCTGCTTAGCTTGAGATTAAGTGAACCACTAATTGCTTCAAAGATTTTTGGAATACCAAGCCCCACCTTTCTGAAAACGATTAAGTTTCTAAATATGTACAGAAACACACATCAGACACTAGGTTTTTACATAAATGAGCAAAATTTTCACAGCTGAAATTTAACAAATGACATAAATGTTTAAGATGTGGAAAAACTGGAACCCTCATACACTGTTGGTGGGAATGCAGAGCCCCTAGGAGACAGTTTGGCAGTTCCTCAAGATGTTAAGCAGTTATAATATCCAGCAACTGCCCAACGAGGCATATACTCAAGAAAAATGAAAACACATCTACACAAAAACTGGTAGACAAGCTAATGGAAGCATAATTCATAATAGACAAAAAATGGCAACAATTCCAGTGTCCATCAACTCACGAATGGATAAACAAAATGTGACATATTATTCGGCCATAAAAAGCAATGGAGTACTGACATAGGGAATATAGTCAATAATATTCTAATAAGTATATGGTGGCAAATGGGTACTAGACCAACTGGGGTGATTACTTTGTAAATTATATAAATGTATAATCACTATGTTGTACACCTGAAATTAATTTAATATTGTATGTCAACTGTAATTGAAAAATAAAAAAATACATCAAAAAGCAATGAAGTACTGAGATACATTACAGTATGGATGCACCTTGAAAACATGCCAAGTGAACTAAGCCAGAGACAAATGGCCATATATTGTATGATCTCATTCAAATGAAATGATGAGACACCCAGAATAGAAAATCTATAGAGACAGAAAATAGATGAGTGGTTTCCAAGGACTGGGAGAGGGGAAGGGTTGAGGATAATGGTAAGAGAATATTAAAGCTTTTCAGAGAATGAAATATTCTAAAATTATATCATAATGGTAATTAGATTATATTTACCCTAAATATACTATAAGTCATTGCATTATATACTTTAAAACAGGCTCACTTCTGGCGTGTAAATTACTTCTAAAAGCTTTTAAAAGATAGTCCCAATATCTACAGTGTAGAGCAAAAGTAGGTTTACAGTTATGGGTGCACAAAATATAATTCTTATTTATTAATTATTGTATTTTCCATACAAATAATTGTAAACCTACTTTTACCCCACCCTGTACTTGTATGACCTTTAGCAAGTCAGTTTATTCTCTGACTCCAAACTTCTCAGTTGTTTTGTATAGTTATTAGTTGACTATATGATCTACCAGTAAGGTCCTATGTATTAATGACCTACCATGACTCTTCAACTTCTTTCATTATCTTATTATCCAGGGGTTGGTAGATGCAAGAGAAACTGACCAGAGGAAGCAAATCACTTCCTGTGGTCATTCCACTGCCCACAGTTCAGCTGCTATTTTTAACAATCTGTATAAATGTCATAAGTCCAACTCTATTGTATATATTTTAACAAGTGTCAAATAAATTGACAGGGAGATAGAGACAAAAATAGGAATAATTGAGTAAGTGATGAGAAAACAGTCTTATTTTATTCTATGTTAATCCTTATCCCAGAACATTTTTCCATTGATTTTTAGAAATAGTGGGAAGGAGGTTGGGAAGGGGGGAGAGAGAGAGAGAAACATCACACATCTATTGGTTGCCTCCCGCAACACACCTCAATGGGTGTGTTGAGGGATTGAACCTGTAACCCAGGTACGTGCCCCTGACTGGGAATTGAACCCATGACCTTTTGGTATGCAGGCTGATACTCTAGCCACTTAGCAGCACTGGCCAAGGCAGAAAAAAGTTTCAAAAAAACACCAGATAAAGAAAATCTTGTAAATCCTTTTGGAAAACTGGTTACAAAAGAACAAAAATGGTCTTTTTAGAATCACTTCCTATGTTAATTTTCTATTCTATTCTCTATGGAAGAAATCAATATTTAAAGTAAAACACCCATTCAGTTTATACAAGATCTATGGTAAATTACTTTAAATATTCTAACAAATACTTTTCTGTTATTACAGCTATTTTTTCACTGCTCATATGGCATCATTTATATAAAATCCAGTTAGACAAGAAATATGAAATGAGTTACTAAGAAATTTTGTATATTAATCACAATCTTACTCCAACTTTGAATGAGGTAATATCAAAGTAAGAGCTAAATGTCTTTATTATATTGTAATTTCATCACATACCAACCTTTCTTACTCATTAAATACATACCTGACACAAAAAAAATAAGAATTGAGCAATGGTATGTTTCATACTTAAAAATATGAATATCTTAAAATGGTTTTTTTAAAGTCCAGTGGTAGTTCTTGAATTTGAAACATTGATCTCAAAGAATCATCCTACAGGTGTCACTGAAGGATATGTTAAAGTGCTGGATGGAAAATAGCAGAAGAGGGAACTGATGAAGGATTCTCTCTCATCACTGATGTTTCTATCTCTCTCTCCCTCTTCCTTCCTCTCTGAAATGAATAAAAATGTATTTTTAAAAAATAGCAGAAGAGGCTCCCAAGTAACTAAGGAGGACAAGAATGATTGGACTGTTTTTCTTGTTGCTTCAAAATCTAATATTTACCCATTATCATCCACAACAGATGAAACTGTATACTTTAAATAGACATGACATTACAAAATAAGAGTATGAGCAAGGGAGTACAAGAGCACTAGTTGTTTATCACTAACGCATTTTAATAGCTCATGTTTTTTTTGTCTGTTTAATCCTCACCCAAGGATATGTTTTTATTGATTTTACAGAAGGGAGAGGGAGAGAGACAGAGGAACATCAATGTGAGAGACAAACACCAATCAGCTGCCTCCCGTACACGCCCCTGGCCAGGGATTAAACCCACAACCTTTTGGTACACAGGATGATGCTCCAACTAACTCAGCCACCGCGTCAGAGCAATAGCTTATATTCTTGGCCGGGAGTAGTAGTACCAATTCTTAATTTAAGGATAATTCATTAATTTTCTCAATAAACATTAAGGGCTTATTGTATCCCAGACACTGAATTTCACAGTGAGGATACAGTACTGAGTAAATAAACCCAGTCGTTGCTCTCATGATGCTTTTAGTCTACGGAGAGAAAGACAAAGAACAAGTCTTGAGTGCGCTTTGTGACGGATGCTCTGAAGGGAATGTACAGAGCGCAATAATAGAGAATACCGTAGTTGTCATGGAAAGCCTCAGCCTATTTAACAACTACCTGAAGGATGAGAAGTCATCCATGAGAAGAGCAGAGGGGCAATCATTCCAAACAGGAAATGGCACATGTGAAGGCTTTAATGTGGAGGGACTTGGAGCTGTTCTGAGAGCTGAAAGGAGGCCAGTGCAGTTGAAGTATGGTGAGGGATGGGGAGGGGGACACACGAGGTTAGGGAGGGAAGGAGGAACCAAGTCATGCAGAGCCTTGGAAGCCACAGTAAGAAGTTGGAACATTATTACAAAAAACGGCAAGGTTTAAAAAAAAAATACATTGATTTTAGAAAGAGGAAGGGAGAAGGATAGAGAGAAACATCGATGAGAGCGGAAAACTGATGATTGGCTGTCTCCTACACACTGCCTACTGCAGGGAGAAGGATAGAGAGAAACATCGATGAGAGCGAAAAACTGATTGGCTGTCTCCTACAGACTGCCTACTGCAGGTTGAGTCCAAAACCTGGACATGTGCCCTGACCAGGAATCAAACCGTGACCTTTTGGCTGATGGGCCAATGCTCAACCACTGAGTCACGCCAGCCAGGCCAAAAAAATTGCAAATTTTAAAATACAAAAGCGTCATGGCCTTACTTATGTTTTTAAAAACATTACTTGGGCTGCTACGCAGAGGAAAACATCAAAGTGAAGAGGCCACGGTAACTGTCCTAAGCAAGAGATGATGATGACTTTGACTAATATAATAGCCAGAGACATGACATTTTTATAAAGTAAAAATGACAGGAGTCCCCCAAAAGACAAGAAATGGTATGACTTATTTACAGATCAGATGAGGGGATGGGGGAGAGGGGAAGCTCGGTAAGACTGAGAAAAGAGTTAAGTCAGGGAGGGAATCAGTTCAGTACTATACATGTTAAGTTTGAGAGGCCTATGGAACATCCAAGTGGAGGTAAAAGCTAAGCAGCTGATCCACAAAGTCTAGAGCTCGAGGAGAGGTCTGTGCTTTCCATACATGCCTTAAATTTGTACTTAGTACATTCTGGTTTTTGAAACACATATTCAGTCATGCATACCCGTCTAGATTTCTCTTAGATTTTGAGAAAACTTGAATGAGACAATAAAACGTGACAATTTTTAATCTATCAAATGCCTTTTTTTAAGGGGAGGGGTCAACTGTAGAATTAATGTTATTTAAAAGTAGAATGTTCTTGAATAGCTAAGATAACACAGAGGGTTACTTAAAGGAACATTTCAAACAGGGGCGAGGGTAAATAACTGGAGTAAAACACAATGTAAAACTGTCTCCAGCAGCTCTCAGTTGTAATTTTCTCATAAAACAAACCCTGTTTTAGAATCACAGAGGAGTTGATGATTTTACATCTCCCTCCAATGTTCCCTATTGCTTTTTGGCAGGTATCTCTTTCATAAAAGGCTTTGACAATGCCTTTTTTTTTTTTTAAGATAGAAACACTGTAGTTCTTGGGAAAGCTGTAACTCAATGAATGACAACACTGATGAAAGCAAAAACTTTACCCAACACACGTAAACAAGGAGGTTTTTCATAGTCAAAGAATATTTGTTGATAAAGCTCACTTTACAAAAGAGAAGTATCATTATATTTTCACTCTGTTCCCTCTAACTTTGTACCTGCTATAATGTTACTTACAGATCTGGGCTGCCCTGAGAATCTCCGGTTATAATCACTAATATCTTGAAGCAATGATACAACATCCTGAGACTGGTCATTTTCACCAAATACTGGTAGCAATAAAGTTACCTATAATATTACAGAAAAAAAAAAGTTATACCTTTCTGCAGTATTTGTGTGGTGTGTTTTTTTTCATTTTGTGTTATTCAGTAAAATGAGAGAAACTTTCGAATTTATATTTCACACATTTCCTTTAATAAAGGCAACACGGGAGGAAAGTAAGATTACTGCCTCCTATAAAATCCAGTGCGAAATTAATTTGAACATCTATAAAATAAAACGGGCACCTTATCCAAACACTGGTTCTAATATTTTCCAGTCCAGACTAGGAAAAAAGTCAGTACTTCTCTACAGTTGAAGATGTAAGAATGATGAGAAAACATTTAGGAGCCAAGTGACAAAAATATATATATCGCTTGGAGAGAGAAAAACAGGGGATCTCTTCTTTGATTAAAATCATGATTCCTTATCCTCACTGGTATTTGAAATATCTTTGAATATTACCAACCATAATCCAAGGATTAACAGTGCAAGGACTTTCTCAAACACCTAGCCCTGCTACAATAAAAAAAGTTCCTTCTTGATACTGTTATATGACATAGTACATTTAACCCATTTTCCTTCATGGTAGAGGTGAGGATACACAAATATCCCAGGACCACATTTGGGTAATCTGAAGATGAAGACTTTGAAAACCCCAATAGAAATGGTTGCTGTACAATGACAGATTTAGGTTTGAGTCATCTAGCTGTTGTTGGTTGTTTATTTTTCTTCAGAGAGAGGAAGGGAGAGAGAAAAAAACATTGACCTGTTGCCTCTCATATGTGCCCCAACCAGGGACTGAACTGCAACCTGGGTATGTGCCCCAACTGAGAATTGAACCCACAACCTTTCAGCGTACAGGATGATGCTCCAAACGAGCCACACTGGCCAAGGCCAGCTGTTGTTTCTGTCCTTCCTCTGTTCAGCTGTAAAACCTGGGCTTCCCAGTACCCACATACTCTCCAACAGCTGAACAAAGGAGTGACTAACAGCAGGCAGTAGAAGGAAGAGCACATACTGTTATCTCTTCACGAATTTGTCAAGTGCATTCTTTAAATAAATATTAATTGAGCACCTTATTGTGGGCACTGTGCTAAGTGCTTGATATACAAAAAAAAAAAAAAAATGAAGACATGGCCTTGCCCATTGGTGATCACAATCCCCAAGATAGAAGGGGAGGCAGACCTGTTCAACAGCCTATTCTAAGGCACTGTGGTAGGTGTCATAATGGTGCTTGAGAAAGTAAGAACTTCTCCCTGCAGTGTCCAGAGATCTTGAAACTTAACCTAGCCCCTGAAACACAGGCAGGACCATGCGTGTGTTAGTGTATGCGTCCACGGAGGGAAGTGGTGAGTGTGTTCTAGCCAGAGGCATCAGCCTATGCGTTATTATTTCCAGGGAAACAGGAAGTGAAGCAGGAATCTGCCACCTGTCTTGCCTCCAGGATGAATTACTCGATAATTAGAAATCCAAAAGCTATTATATTGAAACAACTTTATCTCCATCTTTCTCGCCTCTAGCCAATTTATGGGTGGGCCAAAGGATACCGCCTGATAATTTCTATATACCCTGCGAAAAGCTGCGGGTGGTGGAACTAATTCTTTAACACAGGACCTAGGGCCTGGTCTCAGTGTGGCTGGCAGATAGTTAAAGATGATGAAAGGTGATAGTGCAAATAAGTTTCAGTGTTGATTGCTTTGTGTCAGATATAAAATCATCCAGAGAGGCAGTATAAAAAAAACAACCAAAAGATTTTCCACTGACCATATGATAAAGAGTCAAATGTGAAAGAGACAGAATTGGGGAATGTAGAAGGAAGAAGGAAAGACGAGAAAGACCTGAACCTCCCCCTACACCAAAGATGAAGGCAGTAATGGAGAGCAGTAGAGTTAGAACAAAAGCTGAAAGGTATACGGGAGTGGGCAAAAGGTTTACAGTTGTGAGTATGTGAGACACTGAGTTTATTCTTGTATTATTATTTTTTAATTATTGTAGTATTTTCCATATGAACAACTGTAAATCTACTTTTGCCCCTCCATATATACGCGCGCGCGTGTGTGTAACATGTATACCATATGGTTTTACTTAAACTCCAAAAATCAGATAAAACTAAATAATCTTAGAGATGTATGCTAAGATAATAAAACCAAGAAAATCAAGGAAATGCTTATGATAAAAGTGAAACAGAAGTTGCCTATAGGAGAGGAAGGAGGGGTGAAGATTTAGGAGGTGTCATGAGGAGGCGTCTGGAGCTGTTGGCCAATTTCTGTTTCTTCACCTGAGTGATGATGACTCAAGGAGTTGTTTTGTGATAATTCAATGAGCTGTACTTCTTTGTTTAGTGTGGTTTTTCTGTATGTCTGTCATATTTTACAAAGAAATTTTGAAAAATCACCTCTCATATCATTTTGTTTTATTTTTTGGTGTCTGTGGGTTTGTGTCTTTATATAACATCCTTTACACCTGACAAGTGTGGCTTAGTGGTTGAGTGTGAACCTATGAAATAAGAGGTGCCGATTCAATTCCTGGTCATGGCACATACCCAGGTTGCAGGCTTGATCCCTGGTTGGGGCATGCAGGAGGCACCCGACTGATGTTTCTATCTCTCTCCCTCTCCTTTCCTCTCTCTCTAAACATAAAAAAATATATATATTAAAAAATATATCCTTTACTGTTGTTTTAGTGAGGTTATAAGAGGGAGCAAAAGTAAATATATATATCTAATTTGACATCTTTACTTGGAAACTATCCTTTTTAGGACTTTATTTTACGTACTAGAAGACTTCCTAAGGAGATGCTGTCTTTTTACATATTCATAACTCATTATAAGTAAGGTGTATATTTTTATTTTAAATGAAAAATAAAATAAAAAGGAAATTATGAAAAACTATATACAACTGAGAGAATGTCTTATTTTGGTATATATTCTTTTATGATTAGATAAGCTTTTTTTGCGTATCTTTTTAAAAAATTATTTATTGTTTAAAGTGTTACATATAGTATTACATATGTCTCCTTTTCCCATTGACCTCTCATGGGCCACCCCAACCCCCCAGCACATGCCCTCACCCCCCTAGTGTCTGTGTCCACTGGTTATGCTTATATGCATGCATACCAGTCCTTTGGTTGCTCTCTAACTGCGTCCCCCTTCCCCTGACATTTGTCTCTGGATCTATTCTTGTTCATCAAATTATGTTGATCATTATATCCCACCCCCTTCTGAAGTTTGACGGTCTGTTCGATGCGTCTCTGTCTCTGGACTATTTTGCTATATTTACTAATTAAAAGAAACTAAGAATTTCAGTTTCTCAGAATTTTCAGTATATTGCTTTTCCCAGTTTGTCAAAGAAACAGAGAAAATCTGGCAATCCCATCTGTTCTGACATTTCAGTCTTCAATACATGTTTATGAAAACTTACTGCCTCCCTCCTGAGGTAGCTTCTAGACTAACTATAACAGTCAAATCTGTTCTGGATAATTCAATGTGGTTATGTTTCCAAAAAAAAAAATACAGTTAAAAATTATTCATTATTTAAAGCTATCTGGACCCTTACTGGAGAAGGACAGATTAAAAATAAGTTAAAAAGGAAATACCATTTTTTTTCCATAAGAAATATGAAGGATATTTGCTTAAGCCTGATTAGCTAGTTCAGCTATTACTTTGCTGGTATTACAACAAAGACTTTCTAGGCACTTACCATTTGTTTTTCCTACAACTGAAGAATTTCAAAGGTATTACCTTTTTTTGAGGTGTCTTAAAGACATAAAAATAATGGTGGAATAACATCATAGAAGCTTCGGATAAAGGAAATTCTAAAAATATCAAAATAATTCAGAATTCAGATACAGAAACTACAGAGATTTACAAAATGAACTAGCATTAATGATGCTTTCTGGATACAAACATTACCGTTTGCCTACAAATTGGACAGCTGATTGCCCCAAGCCAAGAACCGTATCTCCAGTATGCAATAATGCAGGTACCTAAGGGGGGAAAAAATTAATAGTGATGTTTGAAATACCTAAAATATTTGAACAGTGTCATCTTATTTTAATTTTTTTTTTTTTTACTTCATCCAACATCTCTTCAGGCAAATTCAAATCTAATAACAATTCCCAGCTATTAAAAAACATTTTTTAAAGTATATTTTTATTCATTTCAGAGAGGAAGGGAGAGGGAGAGAGAGATAAAAACATCAACAAAGAGAAGGAATCACTGATCAGCTGCCTCCTGCATGCCCCCCACTGGGGACCGAGCCCACAACCCGGGCATGTGCCCTTGACCAGGAATCGAACCGAGACCTCCTGGTTCATAGGTCGATGCTCAACCACTGAGCCATGCTGGCCTGGCTAAAAAACATTTTTATTTAAAATACCAGTTAAGATATAGGTATTTTTAAACAAGAGCAAGCATGCATTGCTTCAATGCTTTGAGGCTTATTAGAAAATATTGCATTTCCTATGTAAAATAAATAAAACAATGATTAAACATCATTGTATAAATTACACCAAAAAAAATCAGCCTAAATTTTCTGTTCAAAATTTCATATATACTAGTATGTTACAAAAACACAATTCTTACTTTATGAGTTTTGAAAGCCAAGTTAGTTACGTATTAATAACAGTAATTAAGTAGTGTGAAAAAGGAACAAAATTATACAGATTACATGCTCTCTGCCCTAATAAAGTTTATAATCCAGTTCAGTAATTGAATCCACTTTTGTACTGGATGAGTTTGATTTTTTTCTTTGAAGGTGTTTGTGGGCAGCAAAACAGCTAAACACAGTCCAAGAGAAGACCTCAGAAAGCAGGAGCACTAAATTTTAGACCAGTAACAATGAAGAAGAAATACTTTTAAATATTTTCTGATGTTTAAGGGTCTGATTCATTTTCCTTTCTGCAGGACACCTGTTTCTCAGACCATCCAGGTTCCACTGTGAATCTGAACTAAGTGCTTCATGTCTCCCTCCTCCCTCCAGGGTTTTCTCTGTATTCTTACTCCTGCCTTGGCAACGTAGCTTAGCCTCCTGTGTTCCTTATTCTGATTCTTCCAGACCAAATAAATGTCCAGAATTTAGAAGAAGCAATGACAATCAAAGTGAGGAGACCAAGGTGACATAGTTAACTCAATCAGAGGGTATGTAAATACTGAACTGTGTAATGTTAATTTTAAGTACAAAAGGAGTACAGAGAGGGAGAACTTTCTGGGATGTGCTAGAGAGCAACCTGCAAAGGAGAAAGACTTGAACTTTGTAGGATGGCAAAAATCAGGAGGGAGGACGCTTCAGGTTTTGTGAATAGCAAGAGCAATCACCAGAAGAAGAAATGGATGGAAGAGGAGACGGGTGAGCAAACCATTGGGCCAAGCAAAAGCTGTACAAATTGGACATTCCAGTGACTGTGGGGAAAAACTGGTTTGACAATTTAAAGATGAATTGGAAAGCTAACCAATCTTTTATCTGATATTTTCCCCCTACTCTCGAGAGTATTGTGTTAGATAATATTAAGTACTTTGAGCAATCTAACTTCATATTGAAACTATATTAAAGCAAACCTTATTATACATCTGTTAGTATTATTATTACCATTTGTAATAATGCCTTAGATTTATCTCCTCCTTCTAACTCAAAAAGTTCAATGTGTTTTGACACATGAGCTTATGTTTTTTTCATTTTTTTAATATATTTTAGAGAGAAAGGGAGAGAGAAACATCAATGTGAAAAAGAAACATCAATTGGCCACCTCCCACATGTATCCCAACGGGGTGGAGGTGGGGTGGAATCCGCCACCCTGGCATGTGCCCTGACCAAGAATCAAACCCTCCACCCTTTGGTGCACAGGACAATGTTCCAGCCACCCTGGCCCAGGCTGACCTTATTTAATCCCACATCTCTTTTCCACAAATTGAGGTGTAGGCGTCCTTGTTTTGCAAATTATATAACAGCCACTTGCCTGTACTGAGAAACTACGGTCCAGTAAATTAAACACTTCAGTTCATACACATCTGCTATGACATGCTTGATGTGTTTCCTTTTTCTCAACTTTCCCCTTCTTTAAGAAGAGAGATCCACCTAAATAGGATGTGGGAGAGATAGCTCAATTATTTTAATCTGGGCCACAATCTCTCTAAATTAGTTTATTTGTGAAATGGGGATAAGACCTGATAAGACTGCTGGAGCATTAAATAAAATAATGATGGCTACAATGGCAAGTAAGGTAAAATCTGTTGGTGCATCATTTCTAACTCCCCGTAAAGGGACAGAACTAGTTCCATATATAGGAACTAAGCTAAAGTGCTCTTGATGCTATCAGTATACTTGAACTATACTATTCAAAGAAACACATTTCTGTTTATTGAGAAGTAGAATAACTAGTTTTCTTAACCTTTGAACTTACAGACAGTAAATAAAAGTGTCTAACAAGTAGAGCAAGATATCAGAGGCAATCTACCCTATTACCTCAGACCCAAAGGTAAAACCAAGAACACAATACAGCCATCTTTCAATTGACTGGGTTATCCACTCAATGAATTACTTAAGCCTGGATTGGCAAACAGAGTTCACCTTGCCTGCCAAACCTCAGTGATTCCTAACACTTGCCTGGGGTACTGTGTTAGAGGATGGTGGAGTCCATACCCAGACTCAGAAAAAGTGTCCCACTGATTAGGAATATCTACCAGAGATTTGAGAGTGGGGGGAAGTATCTGCTTTCTCTGATGGCCATTTAATTCTCCCTATCTGATCTTTCATTATTTTGCTCCTCATTAGCATTTCCAACAGATAATTATAATTTGTTAGCTGCTTAGGCAAAAACCTTAGAAAAGAAGCTGGAATTACTGGATGAGGCAATACTGGGGTTGGTTAGTACTTACTAAATTAGCACCAGGTACGGAAAATCCCGCAGTACCTGGTATGGGTTTCAAATACGTATGTCATCCCCAACAACATAAACAGTAACACTATTACCTAAGAATTCTATATAATGAATCTTAAACAAAAGTAATTTATAAGGCCATTGTATGCTACATTTTAAATTAGTCTTTATATAGAAATTGTGTGCATTTTGGGAGCAATTAGAATCCTATCTTGAATATAGCTGTTCAAACAAAGAATTACTACAATGAAAAATCGGATAAATCTTAAGTACAGAGTAGTTGTATAAGCCACCAATCAGAGTAGAATTGAGCTAGAGTTTGAAGTTAGACGTACATTTAAAACTACCTCTGTCCCTTAGCAGCTAGATTTACCTGTTGTAAAATTTCTTAACACCTCTGAGCCTTGGTTTTGTGGGGTTAGGTGAACTGAAATATGTTAACTATCATGTAATAACTGACTCTCCCCAACCTCCTATGACCATAACAAGCAATGACTATATGGCATCTTATTCTTCTCTATGAAATCTTTCTGGAGGGTAGAAAGCACCTCTTACTAATACTAAGTAAGTGTGAAATCAACATTGCCTTTTTGTCCCACTACGTGCTCTAGGTTTCTCATTCTCCATCACCAAACCTCTTGAGGTCAAGAAAGAGAGGCTAAGACCCTAACCGGTTTGGCTCAGTGGATAGAGCGTCAGCCTGGGGACTGAAGGGTCCCAGGTTCGATTCCGGTCAAGGGCATGTACCTTGGTTGCGGTCACATCCTCAGTAGGAGATATGCAGGAGGCAGCTGATCGATGTTTCTCTGTCATCGATGTTTCTAACTCTTTATCCCTCTCCTTTCCTCTCTGTAAAAAATCAATAAAATATATATATATTTTAAAATTGAATCTCCCTTAAATGAAACACAAACTTCATAAAAAAAAACAAAAAAAAAGAGGCTAAGAACTGACTGTATTGACTCAGAGTAAAAAATAGTAGCGCTGCCGAAACCGGTTTGGCTCAGTGGAAAGAGCATCGGCCTGCGGACTGGAGGGGTCCGAGTTCGATTCCGGTCGGGGGCATGTACCTGGGTTGCGGGCACATCCCCAATGGGAGATGTGCAGGAGGCAGCTGATAGATGTTTCTCTCTCATCGATGTTTCTAACTATCTCTCTCCCGTCCTCTCTGTAAAAAAAAAATCAATAAAATATATTAAAAAAAATAGTAGAGCTAAGAGAAGGTCTTGGGCAGGGTCCTTGAGAGAAGAACCGTCCTGCCTTGGGAAAGATGGATAATAAATGAAACCCTAAAAAGTGATGAACAATTAGTCAGTCAATCCGCCCTGGTATGGATATATCTAAATTACTATTCAAAGAAACATATTTCTGTTTATTGAGAGGTTGAATAACTAGTTTTTTTTACATCTTTGAATGCAGAGACACTAAGTAAAAGTGGCTGAGAAGTAGGGCAGGATATCTGGAGCCATCCGCATATGAGTCTTGGTCCAAAGAGTCACTATTACCAAGCACAGCACTGTTTGCTTACCGCAAAAGAGATGTCCACAGTTTGTTTCCACAGGGAAGGAGGCTTGATGTAAACAGACTGGACAGTACATGTCAGTGTAAAACTGCTGGCGAGCCGCAGCAGGCGCATCCTGAGGGGAAAGTGTGTATCTATTTATACATGAAACGCAGGCTTTTCAAAGCTAGCTTTACGTTCAGCTGCACTTAAGAATATAGCCAATACCGTGTGGTCCTCATCAGATTTGAGATTTGCAATGGTTTAAGGTTTAATAAAGTTAATTATTTTCTTAACTTTGCTGAAGAAATATTTAAAGTTATAAATATTGTTGTTTTATTTATAAACAGCATGGTCTCTACCTTCTTTCCTGAACACAATTTAAAAATAAAAGCCTAGGATAACTCAGGAGTTTCTCTTCTACTCCCTTAGAATGAGTAGCACAAGGCTGAGCTAACCCATAAATGAAGGATAACAAATGCCAAACTGTTTCCAAAGTATTCGCTTTTTTTCATTTTTAATATTTTTTTCATTCAGACATTCCTGGCCAGTGTTTAGCTACTTAATTAATTTAGCCAAGGTCACACCTTGAAGTTATAGTCTTTTATGTCATTTTTTAATGGTGCAAAAAAGAAAAACATACAGCACTTAATGTTCTCCCCCCTACCTTTTCTCTTATTATCCTTTGGGAATTGATGAAAAACCAGTTACCAGTGCTGCCCAACAGAACTTTATAACAATAACGGAAATTTATTTGTACTGTCCAGTATGGTAACCACTTGCTACAAATGGCTACTGAGTACTTGAAATATGGCTAATGTGACTAAAGTAGTGAATTTTTAATTAATATTACTTAATGTAAAATTAAATAGCCATCTGTGGCTAGTGCCTACAATGTAGGACAGCACAGTATAGGATAAGTCACTAGCTTTATTCTAACTATTCTAATCAAGCTATGGAAGGTATGAGGTACATGCCTAGGACAGTGGTAAAAAAACAAACCTGAAAGATCCCCCTCAGTCTGGGACTCCTGTATATCTAGATATAGTCATGTAGTCCTAGTGTGAATTTAAGGAAATCTTAGTGATCTAATATGTTAAATGAGAATAAATGTTGCCTTTCTTATGTTTGAAGATTAAATAAGAATAGTATGTGAAATCATTTTGTGACTTACTAAACACTATCCCAGCATGAATTACTGATAACAACAGCTCTGGAATAGAGTACTACTAACATGCTTAAACTATTTTTGCATCAATTAATTTAAGTTCTAAAAAGCAGGATTCTTGTGTGTTTAGTTCAGAATTGAATTCCCAATTCCTAGAACACTGTCTGGCATATAGTGGATTGTCAATAAATATTTGTTGAGTGGATAATCACTAAAACCCTCTTTGGAATTAAAGTTTGCGTGATGGGTAGGAAATCAATTTTTAAATTTTGTTTTTTGATGTGAGCTATCTCAGCATGAAGGTGTATAATATCCTACTTAATCCAGCCTTCATAAAATATGTTACATTTCTGGATCATAGAGAGAGTTCATCTGGTTAGAAATAAAGACAGGGCAGATGAGAAAAGTTTTCTTATTTTGCCTAACTAGTTTTCTTAGCTTTGACTAAAGAAAAAGAAAAAAAAAGCCCTCTTTATAGTCATTTCTTTGTAGGTCTTTGAGAAATGTATGTTAGAAAGAATAGTTTTTACACTACATTTCGCTAAAGCCAATTAGACAGTGATTCTTTCCTCACAAATAAGTAAAAGGAAAACTGCTATCTTTTAAAGCAAGTTAAAAAAATATGAAAACACCTGAATAGATTAATACTAGTCATTTTTCTAATCTGAAACTATACAATCAATAGAATAATTTAAGGTCTTAAAGCAGGAAGAAGCCTATGTTTCCAAAAAGTAATTTATTCATATTTCATCACAATGTCATACACAAAGGGAGTAATAACGTCTACTTCTTGCATAAATGCACACATTTACATAAACAGTACCTGCTCTGTTTGAAGTTGTTCCCGAAGCACCCTTATTAGTTCTTGGTTTTCTGGGTGAATGTTTTGATGTGCATTTCTGTTGAATAAAATACAATAAACTTTGAATATAAAATACTGTCAGATGAATCAGTTTTCTTTATGGGTCTAATTTTTGACCTAGAATACTAGTAACTAAAATGTAAATGATAGTGGACAACCGTCCTCCACTTCCAGGACTGAACACTCCAGGCTATTCTGAGATCACTGATTATTGGCCCATTTCAGGTTTAACTGGAAAATGATGAAATCCAGAGACCTAGTACCTTGGATTTAATGTAATCACAGACTTACAAATAATAAAAGAACAATGAACACATTTAATTCTTTTGTACATTCCTTCAAAATAAGCAGCTATATAAATCTATATATTATTATACATTTGAACACTTTTCCATATCTAACAAAGTCCTTCTCCCAACTTTTTAACCTATGGTGAGGTGGGGGACAGAGAAATCAAAAACTAAAATTATAGCCCGGCCAACGTGGCTCAGTAGTTGAGTGCCCACCTATGAACCAGGAGGTCCCAGGTTTGATTCCCCTGCAGGGCATGTGCCCAGGTTGTGGGCTCGATCACCAGTGCAAAGCGTGCAGGAGGCAGCTGATCAATGATTCGGTGTCACCGCTGATGTTTCTATCCCTCTCTCCCTCTCCCTTCCTCTCTGAAACCAATACAAATAATATTAAAAAAACAACTAAACAACTAAAATTATATAATGTAGAAATGCCAAAAGCTAACATACCACTAATATCTTAACATTAGAAATTAAACTGGATACTCAAAGGCAGTACAATAGTGACTGATGTAATAGGATGGGATAAGACAAGTTAGTATTGAAAATTAAAAGTACTTAGGTTAGCAGGTTGGGGGTGAAGATTCATATCTGAATTATGGCTTAATTTCATTTGACTGTAAAAGTTTTTCCTAAACTAAAACCTCTTTAACAGCAATATTTTAAGTCCACACAATCCTGGTGTTACTCTATAGAGGAGCCTTTACTCTCTGGGTGAACCAATATTCAACAGCAATAAGAATTCTAAATTAATATTCCAATGGGATAAGGAAAATTAAAGAAATCCATCCTATGATTATTCAATTTTTAGTAAAAAATTCAAATTTTAGCCGTAGCTGGTTTGGCTCAGTGCATAGAGCATCGGCCTGTGGACTGAAGGGTCCTGGGTTCGATTTCGGTCAAGGGCACATGCCTGGGTTATGGGCTCGATCTTTAATAGGGGGCGTGCAGAAGACAGCCAATCAATGATTCTCTCTCATCACTGATGTTTCTACCTCTCCCTCTCCTTTCTTCTCTGAAATCAATAAAAAATATTTGAAAAAAAATTCAAATTTTAGAAAAGAAAGCTGATTAAACATAACCATCATTTCAGAGAAGACATAAAAACAATTTAAAGTCAAATGTCTAAATGTAATGGAAATCCAGTTAGCCTTTGATTATGCGGACCTTGATTTAACAGACTGGATTTAATGGACAAAATTTCCGGTCCTTATGTAGTATGTGAAAATGAACACATTGTTAATTTTAAAATGCATTTTACCAAGATTTACTTATAATTAAATTAACAGGTTATTGTTGTTATTATTCACTGGTTTTGTTGTGTTTTTTGGTAATTTTTGAATAATTTTTTTCTCTCTTTATTGATTAAGGTATTACATATGTGTCCTTATCCCCTCATTGCCCCCCTAACCCCCCAACTCATGCCCTCACCCCCCTGGTGTCTGTGTCCATTGGTTAGGCTTATATGCATGCATACAAGTCCCTTGGTTAATCTCTCCCCCTTACCCCTACCCTTTTTAAACAAATTTTAGCAAATGGGCCATATGTTGGAAAAAACACTAGCAATTTCACTGACATAAATAAATATTACATATCTACAACTATAGTCTACATATTTAAATCCAAGAAGCATCGCTAGTAAGCAATGTTTGGCAAATGATTAGCAGGTGATCACACTACATCGCTCATAGTTCTGTTGTCGGGTTGGCTGACTTTCTGTAGCAGTCTTAATGTACACTAGCCACCGTTCTGACATGCACTGAGCCACGCCCCAACCGTGTGCATTTGTTTACTCCAGATGACTGGTGAATGCATGCATTTATTACACCTATTCAGTATAAACTTAAAACCACTGTAATATAGAAAACTATTCTGTGAAATTAAACTTTTCATATATACTTAATTCTAATTACACAAACATATCTACCTAAGTAAAAACAGGCAAACTAACTGATTTGTCAATTTTTAAACATTCACATTCAGAAAACCTACTTTATTATGTAACAGCCTTTCAGCTTTAACAGACATCACCTTGCCCGAATTAGTCCGTTCTATTGAGGTTTTACCGTGTGTGCATATAAATGTGTGTGTGTGTGTGTGTGTGTGTGTGTGTGT